GCAGGAAGTGGAACAGCTAGGGCATAAAAGCAGTGCACAATCACTGCAGTGTGATGGGGTCTCTTTACAGGTGGTCCTTCTGGCCCTGAGTTTGAAGTTCTGCCAAGATGACTGGCTAGACCACAATCCTGCAAAAAGATTGGACACAGTTCATCATGCCAACTGGGTGATGGACCTACCGAGGGAAGTAGTTGATTTGTGATCTTGGTAGGAGGAGTAGCTTATAAAAGGGCAGATTCCACAGAGCGGGGGCAGGGGGGACCTCACTCCCATCAAGCAGGAGGGCCAGGAACAGAACACCTCTTTTGGGCCTGGGGTACCTGTGCTGATGACCTCCTGGACGCAGGAGACAGAGTGCTGTACACTAGCGACGGTGCAAGAGGGTGCAACGCAGCCCCAGGAATGAGAGCAGAGTGACCTGTACCAGACGGCTGGAGGGGGCTCACCCACCCACAGAAAGAGAACACCAAGCACCTTCAAGGTTGCTGGTGAAGTGGGGTACCTCTGGGAACTTGGCAATGGAGCTGTCATACTAGCAGCGGTCAGGCTTGGGGTGGGTGTGGGCGCAGTACAGACAACAGCTGAACAGCATGGCCTGCCCATGGGCACAGCTGAGAAGAAGTTGAGAAGCTGAAAGCTGTCCTGGTTGGAAGCTGCCCTGATTGAAACACTGGTCTCCTATCTCCTGGGGTCCTCTTTTGCCAAGTTGATGCTGATGCTGAGCTGTAGCCGGCTAGCGTTCTCTAATCAACCCGAGGATGGGCTGTGAGAAGTTCTATGTGGGCTGTGAGAAGTTCTATGTGGGCTACTGCAGCATACATTACTGAAGCTGGCAGAGAAGCAGAGTACCATGGGGGGAGGGGGGAATGGGTGTCAGAAACGGTAAGACACTGGGAGGGAGGGGGGGAGGAGACATGTCTGACCTCCTCTTCACAGGAATCAGCTCTGGGCTGACCTTGATTCTCGCTAGACCTTGATTCTCGCTATCCCTTCCTGAGGCTAGAGAACCCGACACCACTGGGAAATCGCTTGGCAGAGTCTAAGAAAGTTCAGATATTTTCTTTTCCCTAACCCAATGCCATCAAGTCGACTCTGACTCTTAGTAGCCCTATGTATAGGGTTTCTGAGACTAGGAATCTTTTGGGAAGATATAGTCTCACTTTGCTCCTGAGGAGCAGCTGGAGGGGGGATGGTTTGAACTACCAGCCTACAGTGAGCAGCCCAATGCCTAACCCACAATGTCACCAGGGATCCTTATCTCTACAATGCCACGTGGAGACTTGTACAAGAATGTCCTCAGCAGCTTTATTCATAGAAGTCAACATCGGGAAATAGTTCAGATGTCCAACAGGAGAAAAGCTAAACTGTGGGACGCTCCCAGCATGGAGCACGTCTCGGCCATAAAACGACGGGACCACTGTCACGTGCACAACAGGAAGGACTCAAAATGACCGTGATGAAGGACAGAAGCCAGACACAGGGGCAGGAGGAGAAAATGCGTGTGTAGGCCTCCTCGGTCAGGAGAAAGGATGACGTTGTTGTTGTTAAGTGCTATCGAGTGTCCAGCTAACCTTATTGAAGAGGCCTGGTGTGGTGCTCTAGGATCAGCACTGGACTGTGAACCACAAGGTCAGCAGTTCAAACCCACCAGCTGCTCTTCAGAAACCCTGTATGATTCGAAACCGACCCAATGACACTTAACAACCACCACTTTATTGATGAGTCCTGGTGTGGTGCTGTAGGATAAGCATTTAACTGCTAACTGCAAGGTGGGCGGTTCAAATCTATAGCCACTCTGTGGAAACTCTACACAGAGTCTCTATGAGTCAGAACCAACTCAACAACACTTAATAAGAACCCTTAGTGGACATTTTGATCAAAGATCCTACAGAAGAATCCTGATCAAATTTGAGGGTTGGGGGAGATGGGCAGAACAGACTTTCAAATTTCTCCTGAAATCCCGATCTTCTGGAGACAAGGAGGCTGGATGAACCCCTGAAACTACTGCCCTGGCATATTTAAACCTTAAACCAAAAATATCCCCTCAAGTCTTTTTTTCTTTTAAATAACTTTTTTTTTTTTAACTTTTCATTGTGAATTGAGTGAAGGATTACAGACAAGATCATCAGCTTTACGTTCAACAAATCACACACTTTGCTTCATCTCAATGATTACATCCCCTCCATCCACAACAGTTTCCCTGCTTCCTCCCTGAGGTTCCTATTTACATTCCACCCACCTTCTAGTCTCCCTCAACTTTGTCCCTAGGAAAATGCCCTTTTCATTTTGAATGACTGACCTTTCCATGGTAAGACTGCTGAACTAGTGTCGTCCCCGCCCCGTCCAGCAATCTAGTGCTTGGGTGAAAAGTGAGCCACAAGGGTGAGTTCCTTTCCAGACCTGAAGGGTGGTTGAGACCCATGCTCGTGAAAAGTGAGCCACAAGGGTGAGTTCCTTTCCAGACCTGAAGGGTGGTTGAGACCCGTGCTCGTGAAAAGTGAGCCACAAGGGTGAGTTCCTTTCCATACCTGAAGGGTGGTTGAGACCCATGCTCTCAAGTTCCTCCAATCTATTTCTGACCCGTAAGCCTATTTTTAATTAAATGAGTTTGAGCTTTGCTCCGTATTTTCTCCAACTCTATCTGAAACCCTCGAATGGCTCCCTTTCAGAGTAGTTAGTTGGTAACGGTAACTGGGCACCATCTGGTTGTTTTGGTCTCACAGTCATGGAGACTGATGGTCACGTGCTCCATGACGCCACTGGACTAACTGATGCCAAGCCTCATCAATTCTGATCACTCTTCTTTCTCCTGCACACAGAGGGACCAAGAGCTGTACCTAAAGTGGCCACTCACGAGCTTTCAAGATCCCAGACCCTAATCACCCAAGCAGGATACAGAACATTGGTCTTTGTGGTCTGTGTTCTGTCAGCTGACCCTGGTACCCCCTGAGACTATGGTCCTGAGCCCCCAGGCTCAGTAACTCATTGCCTTAAGATGTTTGATAAGATCTAAGAAGATTTCATCATTCCCTTAAGTCTTCTTAAAACCATGTTGTTGTTGTTGTTGTTAAGTGCCTTCGAGTCGGTTCCGACCCATAGCGACCCTGTACAGGGTTTCCGAGGGTATAAATCCTTACGGGAGTAGAAAGCCTCATCTTTCTCCCGTACATAGTTTTAAAAACTACATAAACTAGTAAAACTGGTTTACTTTGCGCATTATGCTTATATGGAATCAAACTGCCAACATTAACTTAAAGACTATACAGGACCCTCAGATGGCAGTGAGTTTACGTTAAAGAAAATGGAACAACTCAGGAGGAGGTGAGAATGGCTGTAACTCAGAGAATGTAAGCAACAGCACTGACCTGTACATGCTGTGCTTGTTGAGGGCCGTCCAGTTGGTTCTGACCCATAGAGACCCTGAGGAGCAGCTGGTTGAGTTTGAACCGCTGACCTTGCAGTTCATACGGCTTTGCAGTCCAGTGTATTAACCTACAGCGCCACACCAGGACTCCAAATCGTACATGCAGCAACTATTAAATTGGTGTTATGTTTTGTTGTTGAGTAGATACTCAATTATCTCTAAATAAGAAAGAAACCAGGCACAGAAAAAGAATGCAGACTGTGTGGTTCCACTGATAGGAAATTCTAGGACAGGCAGAACTACTGTAAATGGCCATCGAGTTGAATCAACTCCCAGGCACCCTACCATGACAGAGTAGAATTGTCCCCACAAGGTTTCCAAGGCTATCATCTTTGTGGGAGCAGATTGCCACAGCTTTCTCCGGTGAAGCAGCTAGTGGATTTGAAACACCAACTTTTTGGTTAGCAGCTCAACTCTTAACCCTCACCACCACCGGGCTCCTTGGGCATAACTACAGTAATGGAAAAGAGATCAGTGGTTGCCTGGGGCTGGGGGTGAGACACGGACTCCAGAGGCGGGCCCCAGGGAACTTACAGGGAAGCTGAAACTTTTCTCTATCTTGATTTGGGAAACAAATGCACGGCTGTGCCTGGTGTGGCGCTGTGACTTAATGCACTAGACTGCGGGTTGCTGCATGTACCACGGTTCAAGCTTACCAGCTGCTCCTCAGAAACCCTATACAGGGTCAATACGGGTCGGACCCGACTCGACGGCACTTAACAACAACAACAATAGGCCAATCGGCCATAGGTAGCACAAACGGTTTGTGCTCAACTCTTCACTACAAGTTGTCCATTCAAACACACTCCGCAGTGCCTTGGAAGAAGGGCCTGATAATCTGCTTCCTTTAAGATTCTTCACAGTCAGGAGCCGTTCTACTCTGTAACACATGGGGTCTCCGTGACTCCGAACCAACATGACCTGTATGTGAAGATCTATGTATCTTATATATGAGGAGCTTCGAAAAGTTGGTGGAAAAACAGAATTAAAACAAACATACCTCAATTCAAAGCAGTTTTTCACAGCAAGACATAAAAAAAAGTATCTTATAGAAAACTGGGTCTGTTCAACTTGATTGTAAAACAGAATGGTCACAGTGTGTTTATTTTTACCCACCAACATTTCACTCATTAATCATCCACCTAACTATGTGACCTTGGAATCCCAGCTCCAGTGAACTCCATCAGGAATACGAGGGCTGTGCCGGCTCCTCCAACGTTCAGAATGCAGCCCCAGGCCCTCCTTCCCTTAAACTGTGCTCTAAACAAAGGGCCTAAAAGAGGCAGCCCGAACAATGCAGCATCTCACTTTGCCCTGACATCTGTGGGAAGCTCCCAAGCCCAAGATAATCAGGTTTTCTCTCAAGCACTAACTGGACCATAGAACAAACAAAGGCCCCTGGTTGTTTGTGCAGCCTCAGGCAAACTCAGCTTCTTCCTTGACGTTATGCTAGCTGCCCCACGTCTGTTCTTTGTCTCTTCTCTTCACTTGGGTGCTCAAGAGGGCAGGGAGCCTGGTGACTCAGCTGGCCCGGCCTGGCACCAGGAGGCCCCGAGGGAAACAGCCATCCACTTACCTCGTAGTCTTGCTCTCCACCGGATCCAGCTGAGCTGCCCACCAGCACCTCCACAAAGGCGGAACCGTCATTCCCAAGGTCCACGCTGTGTATCTGCTCCTCCTTCTCTAGCTATGGGGAGACAACAGGCTGATGTCAATGCCTGCTCTGTCCTTGGGAGCTCAAAAGAATGAAGAGCCCCTGCCGGACCCCACGCCCCCTTGGCATGTCAACTCTGTGACAGATTCCCCTGTGGCCCTGGCACACAGCAGGGTGGGAACTCATGCAAAATTCATTGAGTGAATGTCTCACCAACCCTTCCAGATCCTTACCACACACTACCAAGCTCTCCTTGGGAGCACTGACCTGAATAAACCTGGTTTGTGTAAAAAATCATGCAGATAAATGTCACGTCTGTGGCCCCTGCCTCCAACTGCACGGGACTCAGTGGAAGGCCACTGAGGACAGGGGCCTTATGCAGGTTTGCTCACCACGGAATCCTGGGTTTCATCCCAACTCAGCCACACACAACTAACTGTATGTATGGCCTTGCCAACTACCCTCTCAGAGCCTCCGTTTCCTCGTCTATACAGTGCAGGTTATCACTATTACTATTCTACAAGGCTGTTTGGAGATATATGAGGGGAAGGCAAGAAGTCTCACTACCAGGATTCCAGTTCATAGACGCGGGTTTATTCAATACAAAACGAGTGGAAACATGGCGCTGCAGTCAGTGGTGGCTGCAGATACGTTCTCTCTCGGTGATGCAACTGTCTTTGTCTTATCAGGGTGCCTTCAAAACAGAAGGCCCAAGCAAAACAGTGGATTTGGAGGGGATCTGATGGTCCAGTTAAATTCAAGGCAGACCTTGTTTGCATAGATGGTACCAAAAGGAAAGAAGGAAGGCCCTGCCCCTCCCAAAACCGAAGCCAAAGCAAAGGCATTGAAGGCCTAGAAGGCAGTGCTGAAAGTCATCTACAGCCACACACAGAAAAGATGGGCTCCATCTGCCCAAGACACTGCGGCTCTGAAGGCAGCCCAAATATCCTCTGCAGAGCACCCACAGGAGAAGCAAGCGTGACCACTATGCCATCAGATGTTCCCTCTGACACTAAGTCAGCCACGAAGACTGAAGAGAACACACACTTGTGTTCACTGTGGAGGTCAAGGCCAACAGGCCGAGAGGAAGTCTATGACATTGACGTAGCCAAGGTCAACCCCTTCATCAGGCCTGAGGGAGAAAAGAAGAAGGCCTAAATTCCACTGGCTCCTGACGAGGGGGCTTTGGATGTTGCCAATAAAATCGGGATCATTTCAACGGAGTCCAGCGGGCTCATTCTAAATACCTAGAGATCGGCTCAGAAGGTTATGGGGACTACGTTTTGGATCTTCAAAGGGATAATCTTGATAGATTTTTCCTTAAAGGACCACGGGGACTTATTATGAAGAAGTTTTAAGAAAATGGAAAATTGTACTAGTGAGAAAAAGGCAAGGAAAGTTGTGCCATGAAATCATTCTCCATCAAAACAATGCACCTGCTCATTCATTCTTTGAGGGTAGCAAAGCTGTCCTATGAGATTTCCTTGAGAAACCTTATCCCATCCACTCTCTAGCCCTATCTTGCCTCTCAGACTTCCTTTTGTTCCCCAAACTCAGAGAACATTGAAAAGGAACACTATTTGAGCCCTTAAGGATGCCAACACTGCCGTTTGGCCATGATGTAAATCGAAGAGTGCAGAATTCTTTGGGAATGGTTTAAAGAGACGGAAACACTGCTTTCAGAACTGCATAGAACGAGATGAAGGATATGTTGAGAAATGATAGCTTCATGTTTTGGTATCTTTGTAAAATAAAGGCTTTTGTGACTAAAGCTGTCAAAGACTTCATTTTGCTTAGATCTGCAATCAAAGCTCATGGGAGCAGCTGTCAAGAAATCAAACAAAGAATTGCATTAGGCAAATCTGCCGCAAAAGACCTTTTTTAAGTGTTCAAGAGCAAAGATTCAGTTTGAGGACTAAAGTGCACCTGACTCAAGCCATGGTATTTTCAGTAATAGCATATGGAAGTGAAAGTTGGACAACGAATAAGGAAGCCCAGAGAAGAATCGATGCATTTGATTTATGGTGCTGGAAAAGAATACTGAATATACCATGGACTGCCAGAAGAACAAACAAATCTGTATTGGAAAAAGTACAGCCAGAATGCTCCTTAGAAGCCAGGATGGTGAGTCTTCATCTCTCAGTACTTTGGACAAGTTGTCTGTCAAAACACCAGTACCCTGAAGAAGGATATCATGCCGGGGAAAGTAGAAGGTTGACAGATAAAATGTCCCTGAATGAGCTAGACTGACACAGTGGCAGAAACAATGGGCTCAAACTCAACAATTGTGAGGACGGGCCAGGACTCTGCTGTGCATATGGTGGTTATGGGACGGAACAGACTCGACAGCACCTAACATGATTTCATAGCTGTACTTTTGGACTGACCCTGGTCTATGAGCACTGTGGCGTCAGGCGGTAGCATGTCATCATTCAGGGGGCATTATTGGGAAATTATTTGTTGAAAGAAGGAAAGAGAAACCTCTGGCCTAAAGCTGGAGGGCAGTGCTGGGGTGGGGGCAGTCAGGCCCAGAAGAGGCAAGTTTTCTGCCTTCCATAGTGGGGCTCTTTTTGCAGGATTCCAGGACAATGTCTTGTCATGGCCCTCAAAGATCCCCTAGTCCATCACCCCACATGGTCGCCCCCACCACCCAATGCTCCAATCTGCTCTGTAATCTCCCAGCCTGGAGGTCCCCCAGATATCACCTGCTGCTACAGATGTGGAGACATGGGAGGCAGGGACTGTACTTGGGAGCAAAGCAAGCCTGAGTCCAAATCCTGGGTGACACACTAACCTCCCGGTCAGTTTCCTCCCCCATGAAAGGGGAGGACCAGAGATAAGCTTCCCCATGTTGGGATGGTACCACGACCACCTCCTTCACCACTAGAGCTGACATCTGTGTGTGCCACACGCACCTCTGCACTGTACAACCACTCTGCTAGGAAGCTCTGCAATTAGCTCCATTTTACAAATGAGCATCTGGCAGAAAACCGTTAGGTAACTTCCCCAAGGCCTCACAGCTGGTGATGGGGAGGGCGGGGACACCCAGCCGTGCTGCAGGGTCCACACATTTGGCTCCATGTGAGGTGGTGCTAAGGGAAAAGCCTCCCCCTTCCTTTCCTTCAAGGTCTGGGACCTAATCAGTTCCTTCCTACCTTGGGGACTTGGCCCTCCCCATCGTCCCCTGCAGTCCCCAGAGATGGTTCCTTCCATTTTGGAAGTCTCTGCTTACAGTCACCTCGTCCCTGACCACCCCAAGAAGTCTCCCTCACCTCCTACAGAGCACTGCTCCGGATACTCCAGGCCTGCTTAATTTTTTTCTTAGAGCCTCTGCATGTTCTACACTTATAACACAAGGGCCCTACTCCCATCAATAAAGCAGAGCCGGGAGCGGAGTGTGTCCTTTGGGCCTGAGATGTCTGCACTGTGAAGTTCCTAAATCCAGAAGCCTGATGCTAAGACACAGACGGGCTCTGAGGAAGACTGGGCCTATAGGTGCTGAAGGAGACAGAGAGAGAGTAAAGCCTTCCCTAAAGCCCAGGCTCTGAATTTGGACTGTTAGCCTCCTAACAGGAGTGCTGGTGGTGCAGTGGGCTAAGCATTAGGCTTCTAACGGCAAGGTCAATGGTTCAAATCCAACAGCTGCTTCAAAGGAGAACGATGAGGCTGCCTAGCCCTGGAAAGACTTGTTACTGTTGTTGTTAAGTAACATCAAGTCAGTTCTGACACAAAGTGACCCTGTATAGGGTTTCTGAGGCTTCACATCTTAGAGGGAGCAGGAAGCCTCAGCTTTCTCCTCCTGCAGAGCAGCTGGTACACTCGAACCGCAGACCAGTGCTTACACCTTAGGGAGCCACAGCCTCAGAAGTCCTATGGAGCTGTTCTAGTCTGTACTATAGGGTCACTGAGAGCTGGAATTAACTCAATCCTGGAGCAAATGGCTTCATTTTGCTCCTTGTACCTCAGTTTTGTTAAGCTGCAAAATGGGGACAGTAACAACGTGCCTCATAAAGTCACTGTAAAGGTTAAATGAAGGATGCCTACAAAGCCTCGAGAAGAGGGCCTGCCATTCCAGAACACTTCACTGTGCTCATGAGGAACCTGAACACAGACCAAGAGGCAGTTGTTAAAACCGAACAAGGGGATACTGAATGGTTTTAAATCAGGAAAGATCTGCACCAGGATAGTATCCTTTCACAGTACTTATTTCATCGGTAGGCTGAGCAAATAACCTGAGTAGCAGAATTACAGAATTGGAGGAAGGCTCATTAACCACCAAAATAAGCAGATGACACAACCTTGCTTGCTTGCTAGAAAACTAACAGGACGGTCTTACTGATAAAGACCAAAGCCTACAGCCTTCAATATGGGTTACACCTCAATTTAAACAAAGCAAAAATCTCTACAACTGGACCAATAAATATCATGATAAAAGGAAAAAAGATGGAAGTTGTCAATGATTTCATTTTACTTGGCTCCACAATCAATGTCCATGGAAGAAGCAATCAAGAAATCAAATGACATATTGCACTGGACAAATCTGCTGCAAAAGACTCATTAAAGTGCTAAAGATGGCCCTTTGAGAACTAAGGTGTACCTGTCCCATGGTATCTTTAATTGCCACACATGCATGCCAAAACGGGACAATGAATAAAGAAGATTGAAGAACTGGATGCATCTGAATTACAGTGCTGGTGAAGAATATCGACCATATATCACGGACCACCAAAACAACAAACAAATCTGCGTTGGAAGAAGTACAGCCGGCATGCTCCTTAGAAGCCACCATGGCAAGATGCTGTCTCACAAAGTCTGGACATGTTATCAGGAGGGAGCAGGCCCTGGCTCAGGCTCTGCTGCGTGGCACAGTAAAGGGTCAGTGAAAACCAGGAAGACCCTCAAGGAGGTGGATTGCTCCAGTGGGCACGACAATGAACTCAAGCAAAGACACAATGGCTGGGCTGGCGCGGGCCTGGGCTGCCTTTCCTTCCTTCCCACAACAGTACACAGGATCACAAGGAGTCAGAACCGAC